AGGTAATTGGGAGTCAATGTCATCAACCTTCTGCTTCCACCCAGTCTGGGATCTAGGTGCTTGTGGACAGCATACAGTTAACTTCTTCCTCCTGGTGGTTATTTCAGTATCTGCAAAACAACTCAAGGACCTGGCTCAGAATATTATCTATAGCCCTTGAAAAGCAGCTAAATGTCCTTGACTTTGTTTAATGGCTAAAGTATTATTATTTTGTCTTGCTTGACTGTTTTCCTTTCTGCATTTTCTCACTTTTCTGATTAAATTTATTCTTTAACCAAAGTTTTTCTACAGACGAAAGGCAGACGGAGGACATATGGGTGGAGAGGTCTGTTCTGGGAAGGCCCCATAGAGTCCTGCTCTGTTACACCATGACTTATTTTGCTTTGAAGAGAAGATATGTACCTTTTAGTTACCATGTATGCTTTTCTTTTGTGGGATTTAATTAAAACATTCAGTTACTCAATAAATACTTCCTGAGCACTAGCTATGCACCAGGCACTCAGGTACTAGGGGTTCAGCTGCAAAATAAAGAGACAAAAATATGTGTCTTCATAGAGCCTAAACTCTAGTTGGTGGAGACAAGCAATCAATGAGTAAAATATATAGAATGACAGAAAACTTAAAGTGCTGTGAGGAAAAGTAAAGCATGGGAGCAAGATGGAGACTGCCAGGGCAGGGAACAGCAGACTGCAGTTATACATAGGATGGCAAAGAAAGGGCTGGATGAAGAGACAATAAAAATACAGTCATTAGAGCATCATTTGTGATAAAGACAAATATTGGCAGCAACCTAGATATCTGTCTATAGGAGACTGGTTAAATATTTTATGATGCATCTATATAGTAGAATACTATAGAGCAAACAAAAAATGTCCTACAAATACAAAATGAACTCCCAAGATATATGAAGTGATAAAAACAAGGTGCAGAATGATGTATAGCAGGGGTCCCCAACCCCCAGGCCACAAACCGGTACTGCTCCGTGGCTTGTTAGGAACCGGGGCGCACAGCAGGAGGTGAGAAGCGGGCAAGTGAGCAAAGCTTCATCTGTATTTACAGCCGGCCCCCTTCGGTCACATTACCACCTGAACTCCGCCTCCTGTCAGCATTATGGTGAGTTGTATAATTATTTCATTATATATTACAATGTAATAATAATAGAAATAAAGCACACGATAAATGCAGTGTGTTTGAATCATCCCGAAACCATCCCCCCACCTGCCCCCGGTCGGTAGAAAAATTGTCTTCCGCAAAACTGATCCCTGGTGCCAAAAAGTTGGGGACCACTGATATATAGAGTACGCTACCATTTACGTCTATCATATACATGATATATATATATATATATATATATATATACACACATAATATTTTTATAAATGCATGGAATCAGTGGAAACATACATAAAAAACTGTTAGTAATGGTTGTCTTTGGAGCGGAGAACAGGATGATTCATGGACAGGTGAGGGTGAAATACTTTGTATCCCATTACTATGTATATATGCTACTGTATGGTCAGGCCATTCAAGATGGCTGCTCTCTTGCTCTGGGTCCATCCTCTGCTTGACCAGGCCCTGCTTCATTCACATGGCTACCCAATCCTCTTAATTATAGGGCTTAATTAGTCCCAGGTAACTGATGAGCCCATCTGACATCAATTCCCCTATAAATGGTAGCTTTTTTCTCCCCCTGAGTAGCAGAGACTATTGCCATGACCTGCCTGCTGTCGGCTGTACACAGTGAGGATGTCGCTCCAGGACTTTTTGCTTCAGACACGTAAGATCCCCTGTTCAATAAACTGTTGTTGTCTCTATCACTGTCTCCTGGTTCTTTCTTTGGTCTCAAGGCTGGACAACTACCAGGCTTTCGGGCCTGCAGGGTGCAGCCCAGCAACTGATGAGCCAGCCAGGAGGCCAAGGAAACTCGTGAGTGCAGAAATGTGAAGAAATGAGGACAGGGGACAGAAAATTGCAGATGTGATCCTGGGGTGGCTGCCCACTAGCCTGTGAGGCCCTGTGGCAGCTGTCTACCATGACAGATGTCTTTCTCTTCCATTAGAGTGACGATATCCTGTTAACCTCAGAGTCTCTTTCCACTTTAAAAGTAGCAGCCCCGCGCTCGTGGCTCATCTGACTGCACGGGGAAGGCTGGTGAATGCAGACAGAACACAAGGACCTGGATCTACAAAATGCCAGCGTACCCCAGACCCACCCCCACTCAACGACTACAGGCACAGGCTTCAGGGATGTTAACTGAGGGACAGGATTGGAAACTGGAGTGGCCAGTTACCCGGAGGGTCTGGTTGGGCCTGTGGCAATGGCATAATCATAAGGGTGCCCTTGGGCTTCTTGTCCCACCTGAGGAAGGAGGCAGAGCCCTGATACAGTGTGATGGAACAGCGGCGACATGTGTCTACAATGCCGCACAACAGGCGGAGGACGATACCAAAAGGCCCACCCGAGTCAGGGAGCAACGCGAAACACCACTCTTCGGGGCCGAGAACAGCTGTGTGTGGGACCTATGGGACCCACGGACGTCGATAGTGACCAAGGAAGCCACGTTACCGGCCGTGAAGTTCAGGAAAGGGCCGATGCAAATGAAACGTGCTGGCGTTTCCACGTGCCTTACAGCCCCACTGCTGCCGGGCTAATGCAGAGGGTGAGTGGGCTGCGTCAGCAACAGGTGAGACGGGAAAGCCGCTCTCAACGAGTGGACACACCCCAGGAGCAATGGGCCCAGTGCCCATGCCACGTGAACCCAGAGGTCGCTAGTCCACGTCAGCCGAGTTCAGCTGTTGACCACCGAGGGAGGTTGCCAACTATCGGTCAGGACGATAAGTCGCTTTCGCCCTGGCCACGGCATCTACCCCCAGGGAGCACATTATAAAACCGGCCCTGAGACTGGCAGGTAAGTCCCCGCGGGTTTGGGTTTGCTGCCTCGTGGGGAATAGGATTAGAAAGGGATTTACAGATCTCACCTGTCTCCTGCCCGGACCCACCTGCGACCACTGAGGTAATGAATCCAGGCCCTGACTGAAGGAAGGCACCATCATATTAATCCCATGGGCCTCTCCAGGATTCGGCACTGGCTGTAGGGCCTGAGGGTGGAGAGGCGGGATGGTACTGCCCCCCGGGACAGGAGCCACAGGCAGGGGTGGTACTGAGGATGCTGTTACTGGTTGTATTTTGTTTAATGGTCATGATCTTCCCTGCACTGTGCCTGTTATGAACATCTTACATTTTGTCCGTGATCTGAGTGGAGGGAATCTGTTCACGAACTGGGCACAGTGGCGGCCTCACTGCAAAACGAGTCTGAGTGCTGGGTCGACAGCGAGATGCCATTGTCATTCTCCTCTGGACTTTCATGAAAAACTGACCTTATAAGCAGCTGGCTCCAAAGTTTGCCCACTTCTTGGACTCTTGATACTCCTTAGCTGCTATTGCCTGTATCGCATTTGTGGTCTTTGGTTGCAGCGCCCTCTCTGTACCTGACCCCAAGGGTATCACGGAAGGGAGGTGGACCAAGAGTGTAAGGGTGGTGCAGGGTCTGTAGGGGTGGAGGGTATGGTCAGGCCACTCAACATGGCTGTTCTCTTGCTCTCCGTCCATCCCCTGCTCCACCAGGCCCTGCTTCACTCACAGGACTCTCCAATCCTCTTAATTACTGGGCTTCATCAGTAACTGCCTGCATGCTTGCCCGCTGCCCCAGCCCCTGGTTTCCGTGGCAACTGATGAGCCCACCTGACATCAAGTCCCCCTCCCCCATAAATGATAGCCTCCTTCTCCGCTGAGTAGCAACGTCTGCTGTCATGTCCTGCCAGCTGTCTGCTGCACATGGTGGGATGTCACTCCAGGACCTTTTGCTTCAGATATGTAGGATCCCCTGTCCAATAAACCATTGACGTACCTGTTGCTGTATCTGGGCTCTTTCTTCAGTTTGGAGGCCGGGCAACTACAAGGCTTGCAGACCTGTGGGGTGCAGCCCAATAACTACCTAGTCAGAATACATAAGACGTAAACTAAGAACATGATGACTGTGCAATTAGTAAATGATGTAAAGACACATACTTATAAAACCTGGTGACCTAGATAGCCCTCTAGCCTAGATAGTGAATGAATAGGATAGTTCATAGAAACATGGATTCACTTCTGATGAGCTGATGACGTTGTTGACAGTGACCATTTCAAAGCAATTTTATTTTTTTAAATGGAGATCTCGGCCTTTTTTTTTTTTTTAAAGAAATTTATTTATTTATTTTTGGCTGCGTTGGGTCTTGGTTGCTGCGCGCGGGCTTTCTCCAGTTGTGGCACGGGGGGGGCTGCTCTCGGTTGTGGTGCGTGGGCTTCTCCTTGCGGTGGCTTCTCTTGTTGCGGAGCATGGGCTCTAGGCACGCGGGCTCAGTAGTTGTGGCTCGCGGGCTCCAGAACACAGGTTCAGTAGTCGTGGCACGCAGGCTTAGTTGCTCCACAGCATGTGGGATCTTCCCGGATCAGGGATCGAACCCGTGTCCCCTGCATTGGCAGGTGGATTCTTAACCACTGCGCCACCAGGCAGGTCCCCCAAATCTTATTTTGATTAATGGACTGTAGTTAATGTGATTGCAACACTTAGATTTTTTTCACCTTTCTAATCAAATAGAAGCTGTATTCATTTCCTAGGGCTGCCACGATGAAGCAGCACAAATAGAAATGTGTTGTCTCGCAGTTTGGGAGGCTAGAAGTCAAAAACCAAGGAGTCAGCAGGGCCATGCACCACCTGAAGCCTGTACCTGGACCGTCCTCGCCTCTTGCTAGCTCTTAGTGGTTTGGGATTCCTGGGCTTGCAGTTGTGTAATCCTCATATGTATTGTTTTCTCTGTTGGTCTTCACTTTCAGTTTCATTTTGATTCTTTTTTTCCAGTAAGCAAAACTCAGACTCCACGCCCCACCCACTTCTCCTCTCCCGCCAACCATAAGCTGCTGCCTCGTTCACTCTGTGGCAGTCAGACTCTGACAGGACCATGGCCCTGATGCAGGCTCCAGGGGGCCCCAGCCCTGGGCAGACCTGCGCACTGATCCTGATCTTCACCGTGCTCCTGCAGGCCCTCTGTGTGGCCGTGACTTACGTGTACTTCACCAACGAGCTGAAGCAGGTCAGTACGACACACACGCTCTCTGAACAGAGGCTCTTGGCAGCCCTCCGGTGAACTGCCTTTATTGGCTCCTCTGAGAAGACTTTACAGAGGAAGAGAATCCTCTCTTTCTCTGTCTGGGGACCCTAACTGCTCATGCATATCGTTACTGAGGACTTTGCAAAAGTGAATTGAAGGGACTATGTGCACAAAGTGCAGTTACAGAACTGGCCCCACCAGTTATGAGCAGATGCGGGCAACGAAACTCCTGAGGTAGTTTTGTCTTCAACAGAATGTTATAATATTAACAGCTGCCGTTCACTGAGTGCTTTCTACTTAATGCTTTATAGTTCTTGACTCAAATTCTTGGGAGTGAGAGGAACTGCCTCAGGGCAGGACTGTAACTGCTTTTGCTTTCTGTGACACCTCTAGGCGCTAGCGCAGAGCTCCCACGTAGGAGGTGTTCACTAAACACTTGTTGAATGAATAACCAGCCTTCACCAATGTACTGCCAGGACACAGGGAGTAGGGTAGAGTTGAGGCTTAACCCAAAGCCAGGCTCTAAACCACTTGTAATAATGCTGTTTTGTGTTCCAAATGTGGCTAATTCCAGTGGCTTTTGAATGCAAAATTACTGAAAATAAGCCAACCCCAGGTTTTGGCTTTCTGTGTACATAGGTTTTTTCATTTAATTTTTTTTATTGGCGCATAGTTGATTTACAATGTTGTGTTGGTTTCTGCTGTATGGCAAAGTGAGTCAGTTACACATAGACATATATCCACTCTTTTTTTCTTTTTTAGGGTTTACAAATCTTTCTTTAATGACTCTTTAAAAATTAGCAACACTGGTTCTACTCAAATAGAATGATATCCACTCTTAAAATTTTTTTAAATTTTTATTTTCTTTTAAAGATTTTTTTGATGTGGACCATTTTTAAAGTCTTTATTGAACTTGTTACAATATTGCTTCTGTTTTATGTTTTGGTTTTTTGGCCACAAGGCATGTGGGATCTTAGCTCCCCGACCAGGGATTGAACCCTCACCCCCTGCATTGGAAGGCAGAATCTTAACCAGTGGACTGCCAGGGAAGGCCCTATCCACTCTTTTTTAGATTTCTACTCCCATATAGGTCATTACAGAGTATAGAATAGCATTCCCTGTGCTATTCAGTAGGTTCTTATTAGTTCCGACCAGGGAACCCTCACCCCCTGCATTGGAAGGCAGAATCTTAACCAGTGGACTGCCAGGGAAGGCCCTATCCACTCTTTTTTAGATTTCTACTCCCATATAGGTCATTACAGAGTATAGAATAGCATTCCCTGTGCTATTCAGTAGGTTCTTATTAGTTATCTATTTTATATACAGTAGTGCGTATATGTCAATCCCAGTCTCCCAATTTACCCCTCTCCCCGATTCCCCGCTGGGTGTTTTCTACATCTGTGACTCAACTTCTGTTTTGTAAATAGGTTCATTTGTACCATTTCTTTAGATTCTACATATAAGCAATATCATATGATATTTGTCTTTCTCTGTCTGACTTCACTCGGTAAGACAATCTCTAGGTCCATCCATGTCACTGCAAATGGCATTATTTTGTTATTTTTTATGGCTGAGTAATATTCCACTGTATACAGTACCACATCTTCTTTATCTATTCCTCCATCGATGGACATTTAGGTTGCTTGCATGTCCTGGCTATTGTAAATAGTGCTGCAATGAACACTGGGGTGCATGTATCCTTTCAAATTATTGTTTTCTCCAGATATATGCCCAGGAGTGGGATTGCTGGATCATATGGTAGCTCTATTTTCAATTTTCTAAGGGACATCCGTACTGTTCTCCATAGTGGTTCTATCAATTTACATTCCCACCAGCAGTATAGGAGTTTCTGTGTATATTTTGACTAATTGTATATTGTATAGTAGGGAACTTTGAGCTGGAAGGAATTTTGGATACCCCTCGTTGTGTAAATGAGACTAGAGTCTGCCAGAGAAATGACTTATCCGAGCTCAGGCAGAAATTTGGAAGCAGAGCTGGACCCAGCTCAGCTCATAGGGAATGCTCCTCTCATCACAGCAGGGTATCAGCAGGGTTAACCTATCTCCCCCTTGTGCTGAACAGCACCCTGCTGCATGGTGACAATGCAACATCAAATCTGTCAGCTGGGCAGGAAATGCAAGGCTAAGGGTCTTGGACAAATATAAAATAGTGTTTATCTGTTAAGGAAATAAATGCAGTTTGCAAATCCTGTGGAGTATAAACTTGGCTCTCAACTGGTTGGGAATTTCCTTTGGAAATGAAGTGAATAAAACAAGAGTCAACAAGTAATTACACAAATGATCACTACCATTAGATGGCCAGTAAAGTCAGCTTTGTTATAGGGCAATTTCAAAGAGCCTGTATTTGTAAGAAAAAAAAAATCAACATGATTATAATCATGCCTTTTAGTTCTACATCTGTCCGAGAGACTGGAATGCTGCTGTGTTTCCCAGTTTGGAGCCAGCATGTCCTAAACTTTGTTAACTTTGCAGTATAAATAGTGACTCTGTGTCTCCATATACAAGAGGTTCCCTCAATTTGCTATACAAGTTGGCCTCATTTTAAGACTGAATCAACTCGTTATTTACTGATCTGAGTTATGCAATTGTCTGTGTACATGATCAAGTTTCTTTGAATTCTATAAAAATGGAAATTTCAAAGTTTAACATCTCCCCACTTGCACACATTTTTCCTGATTGCATGTTTATATGTGTGTACTTCTGTATAGACATGCAGAAGAATTAAGAGTATCAGAAAGAAGAGAATTAAGAGATATTGAGCAAGAACTGTTCCAGAAACTTTCAAAATACTGCCCTATTTAATCCTCATAACAATTCTATAAGGTAAATACAATTATCCCATTTTATAGATGAACAAACTAAGACTCAGGGAAGTTAGGTAAAAGGTGAAGCCCAATTTTGAGCCCAGGCATTAAATAGGGGCTCAGTAAATGGTAACCATTGTAATCAGCATTGAGAAGTCTCTTGTAGTTGTCACCCTCTTCATCAGGAATTTATGCAGGGGAAAATGAATCTGAATCTCTTTGGGTGACTGTGTAGAGTTTGGAAAAGCATATTCAACACAAGTGTTAATTTCCTGAATCAGATCACAGGTTTCACTCTGGCAAGCAAAAATCTGCAGACGATAACAGCGGGCAAGGATTATAGAGAGTGTGGGCTGAGCCAGGCTGAGGGATGTTGGATTGGACCCTCACAATTAAGCCTGTAGATCTGCGAGCATGAACAATAAATATGGGCTTAGCCTCTAAAGTCTATGACTCTGAGAAAGCTTTATGACAAGCGGACTACCTATTGCTGTGGCGTTATAGACGGGGAAGACAAAAGAGAAGGAGACCCTTATCCACTGATGTCTGTAAATGATCCTTTATGCTATTTGTGGTTTGCAGAAACTGATTGTCAGAGGCTAATGGCTGGGCAGCAGAGAGGGTCAGGGCTGCCACCTTGAAGTCTCTGAGCCAGCCAGCCAGCAAAGGAGTCCACCCTGCTGACTTCAAGCCCTGCCAAGGACTGGTTGGCCCTGGCCTAGACAGTCACAGTTTTTGATGGCAACAGCAGCAGTTGAGTGGAATCCATTTCTCAGAACCAAGGGCAATAGCCATCTCTCTCCTTCTAGAGTTGTCCAGATAAAAATAGCACACTCATCCCCCTGCACCCAACACCCAGATGTGGTTAGCAAGAGAACAGCCCCAGCCTGAGAAGTACTGCAGGAAATTCAACCTCAAAGTGTGAAAGGATGTGAAAAGGAAAGGGGGGGAGAGACATCATATTAATCATCATTAATCATTCTTGGAATAACCATAGCACCACCTTGCCCATGTGTCAGTTACCTGTGTTGGCCTAGGTCTGTAGAAGAAACTGCTAAATATGAAACATGTGGGGATGGGATGCAGAGTGGCTGGGGCTTTCTGTTGCTCAGAAGTCAATATGGGTTGGCCAGAAATTTCATTCAGGGTTTGCCGTTGAAAACCCCGAACGAACTTTTTGACCAACCCAGTATAAGCATAAAAATATCTAGAAGGAGAAATAAGTTGTGATCTTTAGAGGGTAGAATTATGGGTGCCTTTTTTAAATTTTTCTATATTTTATCAATTTTCTACAGCTAATGTTGTAAAAATATCTATGCTATCCATATGATTTTCATACAGATCTAAAGAGCATGACATTTTTGTATAGTCTTAAGAGAAAACAACCATATACAAAATTGCCCACACCCAGTCTAATCTCAACCCTGTAAAAAAAAACGAGATCAGGGCTTCCCTGGTGGCGCAGTGCTTGAGAGTCCGCCTACCGATGCAGGGGACACGGGTTTGTGCCCTGGGCCGGGAAGATCCCACGTGCCGCGGAGCGGCTGGGCCCGTGAGCCATGGCCGCTGGGCCTGCGCGTCTGGAGCCTGTGCTCTGCAACGAAGCAATAGGAGAACAAATGAAGACTTCAGACTTCTATGACTGAATGGATTTTAAGAATTATCACAATCATTTTCACACTAAGATAGCATTTTCATAGCATATAAAATATTATCATCCAATTTCTTTAACTTGTTTGTTTTTCTTGGGAAGACCAAAACCAGCTAAAAGCTTTATCATTTCCACACTGGTAGGTCAAATATTAAAATCTAAAGGTATAAGTTATTGTCTGTAAATACAAACAGCAAAGAAGAAAACTAGATCTTTTCTTACTAACTTGTAGTGTTCTAGCAGATCTAAGAAGCAGTACTATTCAATGACAAATGATAGAAGATATGACTTAAATTTTTAGCATGATTTTACAACATAGGAATGTTTTGTTTCTTTAGTAGTCATTCCAGTGTTAGAACTGCTGTGAGGGAGTTGGTAGAAAATTAATGCACATTTTAAACAATAACAACAACAGAAGTGGTATATCTGAAAATATGTGCTGCTTTTTTTCCCTCCCTGCACATGTAACTTACTATTTTAATACAAGTTATATTCATGGAGGAAGAAAAGATTTCAACAACAAATATCTAATAGTCTGGAAATTTTGCCCACAACCTTTAAAATGGTCTACATGCTTGTATTATAAATATCTTCATCTTGGCCAGTCTTACTTATTGTGACTGTTTGTTTTGTGTTATGGTTTGTGTACTCACTGATGAAAGTGCTTCTAGTCAAAGTTGTGAATTCAAAATACAGCAACTCAATAAAAAGTTTAATTAATCAGGACATGAGCAAAGTATATATAAAGCTCTCGCATGCTGAAGAAAGTATAAAATATTCTAATTGAAAGTGTCATCTCATTGGTGAAATACTTTCACTCTCTTTTACTACATTCTTATACACTTGTCCTTCAGCACATGAGAAAATATCAAGGGAAAAAAAATGCCTGATGAGCCATAGGTGTATCAGAAAATAAGTCTAAACCATATTCATACATAATGATTATTTGGAAAACAAACAAACCACACAGGTAGAATATCTGAAGGCAATAATGACAGTGGTTCTGAAAAAAAAATCAGTTCAAGGTTGATATGCAGTGTAAAATAATTTGAATCAAGCCAAAGCCCTTTTTTATAACTTAATTCAGGAGTTAATTAGGCAAAGCCACAAAAAGTAGAAATTAAAAATCAGATATCACAACTATGACATATAAGCTCCAAGTTGTCAAAAATGTGATGTCTGTTGAACAGTTTTAAAATTGATAGATAAAAATTTAGCCCATAAGTCTAATTAAATGAGCAACTTTAGGATCTCTTTGAGGATTATGGCATAAAGATGATACACAGGGATGAAGAACAATTCAAATAATGAACTTGCATGGCTGTCTAAATATTTCACAAAGCCAAACAATCAAATACCATATGACCATGTGTTAAAAAAAAAAAAAAAAAAAAAAAAAAAAAATGAAAACAGGAAAAAAAAAAAATCTGACCTTGCATGAACATCCTGTTTTTCTTCATAAGATTAATCAGTTGTCATTCTAGAGTGCTCTGGATGGTTTGGTGTGTGTGTGTGTGTGTGTGTGTGTGTGTGTGTTGGCAATGATCTAGCCATTGTAAATGTTTACCCTCAATCAGAAGAAGGGAGCAAACCTTCAAATGGTGTTTCGAGTCTCTGCAGGTAAATCCCTAGCTGGTGTGGACATTCAAACGTCTAGTGGCAATGTAGTCTGGATTCTGCCATCCAGAGGAGTAGAAATCACAATAACTAGAATCTACTAAGACAATCAAAGCTCAGATCAAGAAACAGAATATTACCTGTACCCTAAAGGCTTTGGCTAATTTTTTACTTAGGATCCTGGAATGTAAACAAACTCCACTGCCTACTTTGTACCTGGTGGGTTTCTAGCTGTAGGATAGGAGTCACACTATGTCAGAGCTGGAAGGAACCTCAAAGATCACCAGTGAGCCAGCTCAAAATGCAGATGAAGAAGAGATGTCTAAGAGGAGAAGCAATTTGTTGAGGGACGTACGACTGCTCAAGGGCAGGGACAGCAAAGGGCATTGTGACCCTGGATGGCGGGCCCACATCTGTTTCCCTTCCACCACATCTAACTGCTTACCTTTATTCAAAGGACAAAGGATGGCATGCTTGCTTTTACTTCAGGCAATGAGTTTTCCCAAGGTGCTAAAGACTTCTCTGAACCCGTCATCAGCTTCTGTTGTCTTAACTTGTAAATGAACAAAAAGAAGAAACACTTGTGCATAATATTGTGTTATATCATCTCAACCCAGATGCAGGACAAGTACTCCAAAAGTGGCATAGCTTGCTTCTTAAAGGACGATGACAGTTCTTGGGATGCCAGTGATGACGAGAGTATGATCAACCCCTGCTGGCATGTGAAGTGGCAACTCCGTCAGTTTGTTAGAAAGGTAAGTGAACCACGGGGTCGCTTTACCAGCAGGCACAGGAGGTCAGAGGAGAAGGACTATTTTAGATCAAGTCTAGAGTCCTTATTTTGTAAGGGAGGAAACGGGGGCCCAGAGTGTTTAAGTGATTGTCGCCAAATTCACTGAACTAGGAAAAGATGGGACAGCACCAAACAGTGGGTCCTGATCAACTCGTGGTCTAGACTTTATTCCTCTCCTCCAGAGACCTCCTTCATCTGGTCTAAACTTTTTTTTTTTTTTAGTCTAAACTTTTTATCTCACCTTGTGGATACTGAGGCACGGACAGAGCAATGTGTTCAAGGTCACACGACGATAAAGGACGTGTGTGATTTCTTTTTTCATTCAGAAGACAGAAGAAACCAAACAATGGTGTTTTATATTCTTCCCACATTGTTGTTCTCTGTTAGTTTTGTTTTTTCTTTCTTTCTTTTTTTTTTTTTTTTTTTTACAAACCCTTGTGTCACCACATTGTTGTTCTCTGGAATTAAGTCTATTTATTTTTGTATGCATATAGAGATGAAGAAAGAGGAAAGGAAGAGGGAAGAAAGAGATACTTTGAGAAATTGAAGGTGATGACATCTCAATTTACAGTTAATAAATGACACATTACAAAATATTATTTTCTGTTTGTGAAAGTTGCTTAAATAGGATCTCCAGCAGAAACTTTGTTAGCTAACAGTTTATTTCACTAAATATGATTACTTAATTATACTTTCAGTGACAGGACATGTCAAATACAGTTTCTTCTCTCAGGCTGTTTCCTTATTTGTAAGACGGCATTCATAACATTTACCTTCTGCCTATCCGGAAAGGCCAGCTGTGAACACAAACATGAAAATTGTAAACTTCATTGTTTAAAAAAATTACTGGGGACATTCCCAGGGTAGGAGGAGGATGTGTTTTAAAGAGATTATTGTAAGTCTATTGTCTGGTACTCAGTGTGCCCTTCCATAGAAACAGTGTTATGTCGGTGTTTAGGCTCTGATTTATAACCCTAAGCCGTCCTCGCAGTAAAGCCCAGCATCACCTGTGATGCTATTCCTATGAGAAATGAAATCAGACTACCACTTGCTTGTCCTAGAAACACATCTGCTCCACGGCTGCCCTGGAATCGTGGGCAGGATACCTGCCACGCACAAGCTGTCCTGGAGCAGCTGGAACTCCATTGCCCCAAGTGAAAAACACCAGAAAAGACCCACGGTTGGGGAAGTGTCCTGAGGAACCAGAGGAACGGGACCCCATGGTTCCTAGGATTAGAGGGAGGGTGGCAAACCCACTGGTGGCAGAGGAGAGAAACTCAGAACTAGAGGAGAAATCTGGAGACCGAGGAGGGGGCTGGATGCTGGGCCTGGGAGTGGGGAGATGAGAGAAGCCGTGTGGGTGGGTTTTACAGGTCTCTTTCCTGCTCTTCCGCCGTCCCTCCCATTCTCACGTCCTGCCACTGACTAGAGAAGAGAGGGCACACAGTGCTGGATGAGAGTGTAGGAGGGAAAAAGATTTCCCCATTTTTCCAGGCACCATGAAGTGAACAGACAATTTCCCATAAACACTCTATGCCCATTATGTATATTATCTCCCTTAATCCTCAAACAGCTCTGTGAGGAAGGAATCATTATTATCTTCTTTTTTAAAAAAAAATAGATGAAGAAATTAAAGTAGTTCATATCAGTTAAGTAACTTGAGTAAAGTTTCCCAGGGCTGCTAATGAACAGATTTGAATCCAGTCCATCTGATTGTACTACAATCGTTTTTGTTTTTTTTTTTTCTTGGTGGCACCGTGTTAAGGACCACACTGTAGGACTTACACTTTACCCTTTCCTCCTCCTCCTTTTTCCTTCCTTCCTTCCTTCCTTTCTGGCCCAGAATGAGAGTGAGAGAGCTAATGTGCTGAGGCCACCCCTTGCTTCCCTTCCCACACGCCAGTGCCCGTTGCCCTACAGGCAGCCCCCCATTATCTGGGGTCAGAGCTTTTGACAGAGGAAAAAGAAGAGAGCTGCTGATTTGGAGCGGGAGTGCAGAGGAAGGGAGTTTCTGACGGTTGTATAATTAACAACAGTGACGGGAAAGGTGGGCAAGGATGGGCAAAGCCCCCAGGGGTGAGAGAACTGAGTGGAGAGGCATTTAAAGCCATGGATGAGTCATGTCAGGATCGGCTCATTTGACAGAAATGCTAGATTTTGTTCTTTATTACTGGTTTTCCCCACTGGTTAGCACAAAGAAAGTGATATGAAGTGTTTAGTAAGATATGGGAATTTGGTAAAATATCTTTATGTTGAGAATGTCTCAGCCACATTCTCAGAAATGAGAGAGTGACATGGTGCTACCAGGTCACCGCTGGATGGGCTGTGCGTGTCTGTGGACACCATGAGTCTTGGGTATGTCCGATAATTTAAAGCTCCTGGACTCTGGCACAGTGCCTTTATACACGTATGCATGCAGCCACACACACAATGCACTATACACACACATACATGCAGACACACACAGACAATGCACTTATACACATGCGTGCATGCAGGCACACCCACTCAGAAGGTGCGGTGGCATGGCTACCGCATCCGTCAGCCAGAGGGAGACCTGGGGAACATTAGGCTGACCTAACTTGGGGAAGGATAACTCCTTGCTCCTGTGCTGCTCCAGGTGTGGCCTTTCAAAGACTTCATCCAGAAACAGAAGTCTCCCAGACAGAGGACCGTCCTTCCATCCACAGTAGGGACAGCTGCCTCCATATTCATCCCAGCTCCCACCCTGCCCCACACACTCTATGCTTGGACAACTTAAAGCTGCCTAGGTTGATATCTTAGGTGGAAATTTTCTGTTAGACATCAGCAAGAAGAGCCACAGACATTCTATAGTCAGTCTAAATGCTTAGGGAAATTAACAAGCTTTATTCAATACTATTTGCAGATCATTTTGAGAACCTATGAGGAAACCATTCCTTCAATTCCAGGTAGTATTCTTTTTGTTGTTATTTTAATTTTCTACTGTCAGCCTTGTGATAGGGTGAATAGCTCTCCATCCTCTTTCTCTCTGCTCCCATCCACACATCCCACCTCTGACCACTGCTCAGTGTCTCAAGCTGCTTGATTCTATTTCCCTCTTTGCATTGGCAGCTAGAAAGCTCAGAGGCAAATCTGTGACCCACCTATGGTCTGAACTTCGTTTCATCTGAATTTTATTCTTCCAACGTGGATTTTCCTTTCACCTCAACTTCTTTGATTATTTATTTTTACCTTCTAATGTGGGTAGCTTTCTGGAACATAGCTGGAAAAAAAGGGCTCCAAAGTTACCCATCTTCTCTGCTTCTGACCGCCCCTAGGCTCGAAGCCTTTCTTTATGCAAAAGCCTCTTGCTCCATCATCTCTTTCCCAGCCCCCGAAATCCTCATCCTGCAGTCCCCACACCCTGTCTATCTCCACTGATGGTCACCAGCCTTCTCTTGACCCACAACCCCCTTCATTGTTATTGCCCAGGCCGGCTTCTCTAGTCCTGCAACTGGCTTCTTCCATTCCTGGATTTTCACGTAACCACCTCCTTCTCATCCTCCATCCTCATCACCTACTCATCACCTCTCAGAGAGAACTTCCCTGACCAGCTTTCTAAGTAAGTTCACCCACATCCTATTTATTCTATCACACTTACCTTGTTCATTTTCTTTGATTGATATATATATATATAAATCAAAGGAAAATATATAAATATTCTCTGTGTTCTGTCTGATTCCCTACTAGATTAAAGATCCACAAAGACAGAAAACATGCCTCTTTCTCTTACCTCTCTATTCCTAGACTTAACTGTACACCTCAAGCCTAGTAGATTCTCTCTTATCCCCCTGGTCCTTACCTGCACCGCCTTTGGTGTGTGTGTTCATGTGTGTGTGTGTGTGTGTGTATTTTGACTGAGGTGAAATTCACTTAACCTACAACTAACCATTTTGAAGCGCACAATTTGGTGGCCGTTAGTATGTTCACATTGTTGTGCCACCATCCCTATCTACACAGAAAGTTCTTAATACATATTTTTAAAATCAATACATAAGTAAATACAACTGATGAATTAAATTTACTGCTGCTTTGCATTTGGCTCACCATAGCCCCATTTTCCCCTGTTAATAATCATACCAGCCTGCATACGTGTACCAGAGACTTACAGTCCTGGGGTACACCAGCCTGGCAGAGAAGAATCCGTTTTTTAATAGATATTTTATTAATGATGTCTTCCTAATTTTCAGCTATCCTTTTCCATTACAATAAGCTTCCTCATCACTTGACAATCCCCACCATCCTTTATTAAATGGGCTTTATGAAATACGAAGGCAAGACCTGGTCCCAGGGTCTAAGCATTCTTTCTGGTCATTTCCCCGAAGGCAAAAACAGTATTAGGAATGTTGAACACCACTTCTCTTCTAATGAGGAACAGCAGGTCCGTGGTCTGCCGTAGATGCATGTACTATTTTCAGTGTTGGAAGCAAAATATTCTTTTTTATTCATCCCAGTGGGGCATAGAAATCCTATACTCCTCAGTATACCAAGGTGTATCCATGACACCCAAATATACATATTCACAGACTTTTTTTCCAGGAGCTGTTTGCTATAGCCAGGAGGAAATGTCCTCTCTTCAGAATTTGCTTTTAAAGCTAGGCTTTCCCATATCCTTGCAATGACCTCGAATGCAAGATACTTGTAACTGGATTCCATTAGTGAATATTTAAAAATGAAGTGTTACGGTCTAGGGGCAGTCAAGGCATTATGAATTATTTATCAATGGTGGTTAAAAGTAAAAACCTTGAAAGCTGAGCATTCTGAGAGTAACATGTAATTGACTGTACTTTCGAGCTGTGTTTGGTTTTCAGTATCCTGCACACCCCCACCTATCCTGAATAAGTAACAACACCAGATAGATGGAGAGACTCCTTAGCATTCCTTCCTTGCCTATGAAATTTTATCACCTCCTTTCAGTTTCTTCTACTACTAGCCTAGATTAAAGCTTCCTGTGCTCAGAACTGATCAATTACAGCTGTCTGCTAACTCGCCAATCTCCAGCCCTCTCACTTTCTACCCAACAAACCTTACTATGAGGTAATTTAGCCTAAAGCACAACACATATCTTTTTGCTTCCCTGATCAAAACCTTCCAGAGCCTTCCCATGTCTGTAAAAATTCAAATCTCTTAGTCTAACATTCAAATCCTCTATAGTTAAAGTCCTCATTCAAGCCTGAAACTGAACTCCTCTGAAGCCTGTGTCCCAGGAATTCTTTGTGCATCCTGCCTTCGGACACTATTCTAGATCTCTGGGAAGGCCCTTTTCCCATTGCTGTGGGTCCCAAGCCTCCCCAGCCCCACGCATTTCAGAGAATTGTCCCGCCCCTCAAATGCTTTCTTGCATTCCTTTGTTTATAGTTCTTTCTCCATCTTCCTAGAAGGGTGTCAGGTATAGATGTGATGGGCACTTTGGTTTGCTGGAGTACGTGAATGAAAGGACCTTAGTCCAAACCCCCTCCCCTGACCTCAGCTCTCCAACAAATAGGAATCTTTCCCTCCCCTGAACACCCTTCACCCTTCATTTCTATTTCTTATAGGTTAATTTTCACTTTCTAATTTGTGTCTTCCCTAAAAACCGTAAGTCCCTTGAGGGCTCAGTCAGTATAATCAGCGATTAATCTTTGAAGTCCCTGCGGAGCACTGCCTTGTCCCTGGACGTGTTTGCTTGATGAAAATGTATAGTTTATCTCAACAACAACCAACGTAAACATGCTGGGAAGTTTGAGCTGATTTTTTTAAAGAGTAATTTGCTGAATTTTTAGTCTTTCAGTCTGCTCCAAAGTACTTCGGATGGTGGTCAATACATGTTATTTATTTGTTATGATCTAGTGAATCAGTGATTTTTATGCTCATATACTGGTTATCATGACCATTATGTCATTTCATCTTCCCTTTGGGAGGTGAGGGAAATGACTGTTGGATACCAGTTTGTAGCATCTCTGGACAATTGTTATCACTGCTACTCCTTTAGAGTAGGTAGTATCTAGCAGGGAGGAAAAAATAATTGAGATGATAAAAATTGGTATCACTCTGTTTCTATATATAACTCAAAGTGGAAATTTGCCAGTACCTGGTTATTAGTTCACTTTAAATGCCTTAGCAGGAATATTATAAGTCCACAGTTTTGTTGTTATTATTGTAGTTTAGGAAAAGGGTCAGAATCTTCACTTTGTTATATTCTAGTTGAACCTTACCCCTGAGATGCCGATAAATTTTAGCCCAAGTTACTGCTTATCCTTCCCATCTAAAGTACTTTTCAAATTCAACATAGGCTGAAGTAGACTGATTATAATACTAAAATGTAAATTGGTTTTTTGAAAACCCATATAATCAACTTTGGGAGCCCAGTGTGCTTACAATGCTTGATTGATAAGAGCTGTGAACAGCAATGTATCTGAGATGTGTTTGACAAGTGCTGATGATTCTTTGTCATTTCTCTTGTAGAAAAGCAACAAAATATTCCTCACCTAGAAAGAGAAAAAGGTCCTCAGAGGGTAGCTGCTCACATAACTGGGACCAATCGGACGAGCACATTCTCAGTTCTAAGTAAGAGAAACAATGAATATATGGTTTAAAAGAAGGGAATGGAAGAATTTGTTCCAAATAATTTATTCCTTGAACTTGTATCGGAAATGTTTATATGGCCACCTACAAGATGCTCAGTAGTAATCAAGTCTCAGATTGACTCTTCTCAGAAGCAAGATTACAAGATGACTAGCTTAGTTACTGCCCTGGTATAACTGGCTTCAGGAAAATTCTGAAGTGGAAATGGGAGAACTTTGAGTTTCCCATGCCCCCATTTTTGCTTTTCTTCTTTTTTTTTAAAGTAATTTCTCTCTCTTTCATCAAATCTTTCTCCGCTTCAAAGGTTCTAAATCAGTCATCTACTTTCCGCATGAGTCACCAAGGCCTCCCAGTGGCGTTTGTATTAGGTTGAACCATAAAAAGTTGGCCAATATTTGACCACTTTGCACTTACAGAAATGTCAGTTTCATATGGTTTAACCAAATAGGTTAAGCCTAATTATTAGCTGTAGAACAGGTGTCCATATACTGCTGTGGTTAGTGCCTGGGTCTTGTAATCTAAATACCCACATTGGAATCCCAGCTACTCCTTACCTAGTTCTTTGTTTTGAGCAAATTACTTAACACAGTCAAGCTTCATCTTCTTCATATACAAAGTAGAGATAATCTTTAACTCATAAAACAGTGAAGATTAATGCAAAATGCTGTTGCACTGTAAGTACTCAATAAGTAGTGCTTTTATTATTGTCAAAAGTTTTGTCCCAGGTTAAAGAAATTTCAGGCATCAGTTAATGAATAAAAGGTTGTTGGGGTTTTTTGTTGGTTGGTTGGTTTTTGTTTGTTTTTTCTGGGCAGTTGCCTTCATGGTATTCCTGAACTCTTGTTTTGTAAATCATTGACATGTTCTGCCTATGAGTGAGATCGTTATTTCACTATTCCTGTTTACTATTCATCAATTAATATGATAGTTGTTTTCAACTCTTGAAAAACTCAAATTTTGCGTCAATCGTGGAGATGAGCCCAAAGTTTAAAAGAGTATCATATCTTAGTAAAGCCCATCTTCACTCAAAGTCTTTGGGATCTGAAGATCTTTAAATCTGGGCTCTCTTTGCCAAACCTTGTCCCCTGCCTTATTGGACAGTCATTTCTAGCCTTCTGCTTGGATGGTGCTTTTGACACTGGGCTAGAGAAAGACCAAGGAGGAATCCAAAAAGACCTAAAAGAATAGCAGGAATTTATGAGCTCTAGGCTTGAGGAAATAGATATGTTTCTCTTGGTTTCCTTCTACATCGTTGATCTGAGCTCACCAGCACAGGAAAGGAGGCAGGGGTTCTGGACAGAAATTCTTCGCAGGAGTAAAGATTGCCATCTTAGTGAACCATTCCCGTGCTACTATTCAAAGTAGATGAGGTACAAAAAAGTAAGGGACTTCCAACAGATCACAGTGATACGGGAGCCTCCAGATTTCTCTATGACTAGAATTTAGAATCCTTGGAAGATCGAAGGAGCAAGAAGTTTTATAATAGATTAAAATTCTTTACAATCCCAACCAAGAATTGGCTAGCCACAGCTATTGGGAAACTTCCTGTTTTGCTACAAGCTAACTTTATTTTTCTCTAAACTTCATCCCAGGCTCCAAGAACGAAAAAGCTTTGGGCCAGAAAATAAATTCCTGGGAGTCGTCAAGAAAAGGACATTCATTCTTGAATAATTTGCACTTGAGGAATGGAGAGCTGGTTATCCACCAAACAGGGTTTTATTACATCTATTCCCAAACATACTTTCGATTTCAGGAAACTGAGGAGGTTTTGGGAACAGTTTCAACAGAAGAGAACAGAAAGAAAAACAAACAAATGGTACAATATATTTACAAATGCACGAGCTATCCTGACCCCATACTGCTGATGAAAAGTGCTAGAAATAGTTGTTGGTCTAAAGATTCAGAATATGGACTCTATTCCATCTATCAAGGTGGAATATTTGAGCTTAAGGAAAATGATCGAATTTTTGTCTCTGTGACTAATGAGCAATTGATTGACATGGACCAAGAAGCCAGTTTTTTCGGGGCCTTTTTAATTGGCTAAATGATCTGCAAAGAAAAAACAGTGCCCCCAGAGAGACCTTTCACTTTTCAGAGTGATACACTGTGAAAAGACTGCAAAAGTGCTGACAAAATAAGGCAGCCTGAGCAGAGCAGCCTCAATCACATGACTCTACAACACAAGCTTTTTTGGTATCTCTGAAAAGTGACCAACTTATTCCAAGAAAGAGGAACTGACAAAAGACCTTCTGAGACTCTACCTGATATCAGCTTGCTAGCAGAAATCTAGAAGGTTCTCGGTTTACAAACATTTGTGTAGCAATTAACATCTTCCGCCTTAACCGTCTACTCTTGCGAAGATACCAGAAGACTGAAAGTTCATGGTCAGGGTATGCAGTGTGCCGGGGGAGTTGGTGCAGTGCGGGGCCTTGTGGGAGTTGTCCTGTACCCTCGTACTCTTGGAAGTAAGAAAATTCCATTCGAAATCGTATCATTTCACTAAACAAATTAAAGTTATATTTAGTGAACAAGGAACTGTTTTCGGTTGGCCAAAAAGTTCGTTCGGGTTTTTATGTAATCATGTAAAAATCCGAACGAACTTTTTGGCCAACCCGATATTTCTGAATGGCTTGTGCTTTTCACTCCCAGAAGTCAGGCTGACCGAAAGCACTGAAGATATTTTTGATAAAAGACTCTAAAATGAATGATAAGCTAATCAGAAATCGGGAATTTGGCCCCTTGTGAGCAGGAGAACTGGGAAAGTGGGAAAAAAAAAAAAAGAACTGTTTGATAATGTAACTTAAGGATGGGCAAGAATTAATTATGACTCTATATTTTTATACTAAAATTTAAAAATACGTTTCTTTTTCAATAAAAATGACGTTAAAATATGTAGTTTTTGTGTATCTCGTACTTTTGTTTTATAGTAACAAGATTACTAATGATCGGGGGAAAGGAATTCTAATCTCTTTTTCATGGTATCGTTTATCTGACACGTGTTACAGAAGAAAGAAAGAAACTGCTCACTTTTTATATAATGTGATTAAAATATATCAGTCCTTTCTTTTATAGTTAATGCTTTTTTTTTTTTTTTTTTTTTTTGGGGTACACTCTCCCGCCGCGGAGCACAGGCTCCGGACTCGCAGGCTCAGCGGCCATGGCCCACGGGCCCAGCCGCTCTGCGGCACATGGGATCCTCCCGGACCGGGGCACAAACCCGCGTCCCCTGCATCGGCAGGCGGACTCCCAACCACTGCGCCACCAGGGAAGCCCTATAGTTAATGCTTTTGTTATAGGTTGAATTGTGTCCCCACAAAAGGTATGTAGAAGTCCTTCTCCCCAGTACCACAGAATGTGACCTTATTTGGCAAGAAGTTTGTTGCAGATATAATTAGTAAAGATGAGGTCATAGTGGAATAGGCTGGGTCCTTTAAATAATGAGGTGTCCTCATTATTTAAAGAAGGAAATTTGGAAACAGAAACAGAGACACACAGGCAGAACTCCATGTGGCAACAGAGGCAGAGATTGGAGTGAGAGAGTTGCAAGCAAGGAGCTCCAAGGATTGACGGCCATCATCAGAAGTTCAGGAGACAAGAAAAGTTTCTACCCATAGCCTCAGAAATCTACTGACACCTTGATTTTGGACTCCTGGCCTCAAGAACTGTGAGAGAATAAATTTCTGTTGTTGAAAGCCACCCAGTCTGTGGCACTTTGGCTCAGCAGCCCGAGGAAGCTAATACAGCTTTGTACACTATGTTCAAGCGATCTATTTTTACCGATGTGCACAGATATCACCATCTATATTTTTTTTCTGAAATCTTTAAATTTGGCCTTTCATAGTTTGATAGTGGGATTCAACTGTAATTTAATTCATGTGTGATGAGCTAGGGATGGAATTTTATCTTTTACCATATCAGGGACCAGTTGTCCAGCACTGTTCATTGGCTAAAACACTCCTTTCCCACCGAT